CAGCCACTGAAAACTTGAACTGATGGGGAAACATGGATCCTTTGAGGAAGAATCTTGAAACTTAGCCAATGTGTACACTGTACATCTTCTTCCAAGGCTTCTTGTGAATGGCTAGCAACCATTTATGACAGTAATCTTATCTGGGGAAAAGGTAAATATCTAGATCTTCTGTGGGTTATTGAATACTGACTCTGAATTAACACTAATCTCCAGTGATGGAAAAACATCAGGGGTACACACTTGACAGTGGGTCTCGTAAAATAATTTAAAGATAGTTTTGGCTTGCATGCATCTCTCATTGAGCCCAGTCAGAACAGATATGTAGATGATTATTTTTACCCAGACCCAGACATCATATTGGGTATAGCTACATACAATACAACAAAACTCTCATTTTAGCTCCCTGTCCCTGACCCATGGAATGAGGATTACTGTTGTTGGGAGTTCAGGTAGAAATTCCTGTAGTTGCTTCCCCTAGACCTCCTCAGCTAAGACAGTATACAAAATGCAGTGTTGCCTCCCTGGGGGCAAGTGCTGAGATTAGTGCTTTTATCAAAACTTGAAGAAGCCTGGTTAGGGATCTTAGTCCCTCACATTGAACTCCTCTCTTTGTCTGAGGGGAAAGGATTGAGGGTCTTCAAAGGGGAGGTCATGAGTGAACAAGGATGGAATACTTCCCCAGCAAAACACCCTCAGGTGCTCTGACACTTTGGAATCCAGGAAGTACCCTGGTCATGCTGGGCTCCTCCTGCATTGAACTGATAGGGGTCACTCTGCTGGGCAGGGTGTTTGATGCCAATCACCAGAGAAAAATTACTGGAGGCTGTAAAATGAGATCAAGAATTATCATGGATGGAACCCAGGGGATTTAGCAGTGCATTTCCTAGCATCTCCTTAGCCTTCTCTGTCAAAGGAAAAGTACCACAGACAAATAAAAACAAGACAATCAAAGACCCAGTTCTAACAGTAAGATAATTTGGACAACTTACCTGGTAATTCTCATTCAACTGAGGTGCCGAGAAAGTGTGAAGGGACCAAGCCATGCAAGAAGGGAGGTAAAGAGAGAGGTTTGCTTTGTAATTATTACAATGGGAATTTATAGTAAATTTTAGCCATATGGATCCTATTGCCCACATCCTTTTTTTTTTTTTACCAGATACAACTCTGAATGTGAATAAAAAAAACTCCATATAGTGTAATTTTGGGGATACCAAAAGTCCTGCTCTGCAGAAATGTCCAATGGCCATCACATGCTGTGAAAGGCCGTAAGTATTTTTTTTTTAAATTGCACGTGTAAATCCAAGGAAATTTTTGCATGCTGAAGTACACTCACAAACATTTGTACTTACAAAAATGTTTATTAAAACTCATATATCTAAAAGACACAGTTTAGAAACTGCTTTCATTTAAGACTTTGAAATTCATTTGTAATTTGAGTAATAAAAATCTCTTAGAAATATATGCTGCAATTTCAAATTAATGTTCAAGATTCTTCTGAATGCTTTACAACCATAAGCTGCACATGGAACATTCCCAACAGTGAGTAAAAAAAACTGACTGCCAAATTTACACTTAAACATATTATAAAACATTCTCTAAAACACTAATGCCATATATTTAATTAAAGTTTTATTACTTTCTCATTTTTTTAATGTCTTCCTAGGATCATCATTGTGTGTATCTTATCATTTTACTGGGATATGGTAATGTTATTTAGACTTGGTTTTGGTGTTGAGATTACTTTTTCATATACAAAATACTATGGCTATACATTTAGGTCAATGAAATTTACCATATCTGGGTATATTGAAAATTATTTGGAGAATGGGACTTGGTTTGTTCGTTTAAAAAGATTTAAGTAGGAGATCTTGACAAGTAGTTTGAGTATCTTATTGTAGTTAAATATCAAGATTTACAATGCTAGGATGTTTCAAGAATAGGTTTTTTACACCAACATAAATTTTTGTTACTGACATTTCCCCATAGAATGATGTAGTTAGAATATATTTTATAGAAAGTTTTTTATTATTAGTGGGTAATAGATATCTTTTAGAAAATGAGAGTCTGCATAAATAAATAGCTTTTGGTTTTAGAACATTGTCTAAATCAAGCATCTTAGGGTTATACTGTTGGGCCTAGCTTTTGTTGGATTACTTTGTGTTACAACAAGTAGTGATGATATATGTTGGATTTAAATTTCAGGTTAATATATATCCCTGCCTGTGCTGATCAGTCTTCCCTGCTCTGAGTGGAGTTGCTACATTTTGGGGAACTACTTGCTGACATTTTACTTTCTTGCATTTTTTAAACTGCTTATACCTATAGAAATAAGGACATATTCAGGATTATTGAAATGCATTACATTAACATTGTTTCAGTTTTAAAAATCAAAATTTTATGCATCTCATCATATTTCCTCACTTGCCTAATCACTCCCTTTACATATTCCCTATAAATTTTTTCTCTTTAGAATAATGTGTACCCATAGACTTTTATTTCTCAAGTTCTTTCATCTCACTGTAATTATTAATATTATTTATTAAAATGATTGTGTTTTGATGCTCAAAAAGTCACAGTTTGGAAGCAGAATTCCATGTAAGTTCACTACTATAAAATAAAAGAATAGCCCAGTGGGTTACACAGTGATTCACAAAAATCATATCTATGGGAACTTGACTGATTTTTTCCTTAATTGAGCAACATGGGCAAGAGATGTAGATTGAAGAGGTCATGCTTGCTAAGTCTAGTTGTACTGATTATTTCATGGATGACTCTGGATCTTTGTCTTAATGATTCT